CCCCTGCGCTCTGGGCCCACCGACCAGAGCCTGACCAGCAAGGGGCCTCTCAGCAGCCGCGGGTCTGGAGCAGGGACAGGCCGTGAGCCCCTCCTGCCCGCCATCGGCCAGCCAGGAACCTGTGGTCAGAGGAGGGCGCTGGTGTCTGCGGGAGACCCCCGTGTCCTGGCCTTGCCCAGACGGTTGGGGCTCCTGGACACCACATCCCTTGGGTTTTCTGGGAGGCTGAGATCACACTTCTTGCCCGGAATTTCCCGCTGCTCACCCTTGGCCCTGGGGTGGCCTTGCTGCGCCCCCGTGTGGCGGGGCATCTGGTCCCCGCGCTGTCCCCCCTCCGCTGTGAGGCCCTGCGCTGCCTGGCACTGAGCTCTGCTTGGCTCCTGTCTCTCGCGGCTGTAGGGTGTGGACAGTCTGCTTCCTGCCTCCTTTCGGCCTCAGCCGTGCCCCACCGCCACCCACTGGGACCCTCAGTGGGTCTTGACTGGGCGGCTTTGGTGGACGGAGCTCGCCCTTCCCTGGGACCCACTGGCCTGGGCAGCCGTCCTCGTTCCCACGGGCCTCCCGGCCCCACGTCCGTTCCCAGGCCGCCGTCACTCTGCGCTGGGGACCTTCCGCCTTGACGGAGCCTCGGCAGTTGTCCGCAGCCGTGCCCGATGCCCCCTCTTGGCCTGCCCACCGGCGGCTGGCACAGACTGGCCCCTCCTGTGTCCCCCCCCCGGCCCCGCGGCCCAGGCCAGCTGTGGGGGCCCCTCCCCAGTCCTGGAGGTCTCTGTCCCCCGCCCCCTCCCATCCTTCACGCAGTCTCTGTGTGGGACGTCCTGCTTGAGGCCACCCTCCACCAGCAGCGGAAGGGCCTTCAGAGTGACCCGTCGGAGGGTGTCCCTCACTCGCCCTCCTCACCGGCTCCCCGCTGTCGACCGGGTAAAGTCAGACCCTCGCCCTCCTCGTCCCTGTGGCCTTGACCTCTCCTCACCATCGTTCCCCATCACACCTTGTCGCCCGTGGTGGCATGTCTGTGTCAGACCCACGGCCGCTTCACCCAGACCCTGTGCTGTCCCTCGGCCGCCCAGGGGGGCCCCAGACGCCTGCTCTGCCCTCAGCAAGGCCTGGTTCCGGCTTCATCTTCTCTTCCTGGAGCTCGGCCCCCGCACCTCTGGCCTGGTGGGTGACGGTCCCTCCATGCCCGCGGGGCACCCCTCCAGCGCAAGTGACCTCCGGGGGGGTACAGGGTTGTGAGGTGCACCAGGTGAAAGAGTGTGTCTGGACTTTGTCCCTGGTTCTTGGGAAGTAGCCGCTACATCCTTGGGCTTTCCCAAGTGATAGGAGGAGCTTTGTGACCCCTGCTGGTGTGTGCCCGCGGGGGGGGGGCAGGGGATCTGGGTCGTGACCCCTGCCAGTGTGTGCCCGCGGGGGGG